GGGGGGGGTGGGGACGACAGAGGGCACCTCCCTGAAATGAGAAGGGCACCTCCCTGAAATTGCTTTTTTCAGGTCGGGATCCCTGCGGACCCTCACCTTTCATTCATCCTCCTCATCCATTATTTGATGGAAGTGGTGGAGAAGGTTTCCCAGGTCTGTACACCGGCAGCAGCCTTGGGGCGGTTCCCGCTCTCCCTCTTGAATTATTCAATAAAATAAACCAAAAAAAATAAATATTCTGCTGTCATTCTATCATTTGCTTGATTTTTATATCACCAATCTAGTTATTCACAGTAACGTCAGATTAAATAGAAGAGCAAATAAAATGCTATCACATTTATTGCTGTTGTGCTTTTCCTGCACTTTGGACATTAGCACTTCGGTGTTATTATCATGATACAAATAAAATCCCCCTACAAAAACTACACGAGACATTCCTTGAGTTACCTTTATTTTGTACAATACACATTTTATGAAAGTGCAACTGAAGCCAAAAGTTTTTTTCGTTTTGGATGGTGTGGTGAGGGATTGAAACACCTGTCAGGTTTTCATTGCTGTCTGTGTCCCCATTAGGGAGATTGAGCCTCTCTATTTGTCCTGGTGACCGTTATCACTGAGAGTGAATGAAAATCACACATTTTGGGTTGTCACTAGAATAAATGGGAAATCTTCCAATGGGGACATTAGTTCTGGTGACACTGCTGACCATCTGGGATTTCCTTCCTGTTGTGGCTATCAAATAGGAAGTGGAGGGAAATGTCACCAATGGGATACAGAGGGCTAAAACAAGATGACAGGGGTTGTAACCCTCCCTTACTCTATCTAAAACGAAGAAAAAAAAAGTTTTGGCTTCTGCTCCACTTTGTGATTTTGTTCAATGTGTTCCTGTACAGAACCTGACACAAGCTAAATACCACATATGTTTATTTACCTCCTACAGTGCCCAAGTGCTGAGTTTGATTTTAACTCCCGAAGTCAGTATTTGCATAATAGGATGCTCCAGCATTGTTACTTGTGTATACAGGATTAGAATTGGCTTCCTTGTCATGTGTAGTGGAAGGGAAGGCAAACAATGTTCAAAGAAGGAGAGAATAGAATTTTAAAAAGAACTCCGGGGAAATGTATTAATAACCCTTGGAATGGGGCTACCCCTGCACTGCAAGGGTTAACTGCTCGTTTTGATCTAGGGAGGAAAATAACACAGCTATACTCACCTGATCCTCTGAGCCAGCTTGCTCTTGTTCTCCATCAGGTCCTCTTCTAGTGATTGACAGCAACAGAGGGCGGGTGTAATAGCCAGCTTGCTATTGGATACTGCAAATTGAAATAGCCAATAGCAATCTAGCTATTCATTCCTATGCTGTTTTTTTTTTTTTACGGCAGCAGTTGTCAGAATACTAAAAAAACAGCAGATAGCAAAGAAGCTATTGCTTCCCGTGCTATCTGCCATCATTTCAGGGGGGTGCTATCCCCCGCGCGCGGATTGGGGGCAGAGGTACCTCCCTGAAATGAGAAGGGCACCATTTTGCAGGCACTTCCATTGAAGTCTATTCTGGTAATACTGGCATTTTGCTACAAACAACAGAATGCTCAGAACAGGGGAGAACAATAGGATTCGTCCTGTTGAGCATTGTAGCCCTTTTGAGCTACAAAATGCTCAGGTGTGAATTGGGCCTACAAGACACAAATACATGCAGCTCTGTAATCATTAAGATATCATTACATTTATTTTTTTAAAGCAAACAGTGTAAATGCCTGAATGTGACCTGGTATCAGCCTTTTGCAGTCCTTGTACAGAAGGGTTGGAGTGTGAGAGGAGGAAGCAGCAAAAGGAGCCAATCAGTTAATGTGCTGACAAGAAGCATGCTGATAGGAAGAGAAAGCATAGTGACAGTGAGATGAGCTATTCATTTTGCTGCTTCTTCTTTCACTGTCCAGTCACAGGCTGGTTACGCATATCCAATAAGTGCAGCATAATTCCCCAACATCTCTGATGGTCCAAATGAAAGGAAGGATTGATTGTCTAATATTATCTGCTGCCTGACATCACCTGATCCCTGCAAATTAAATTATTAAGGAACTCAACCACTTGGGCCCGGGGCACAGGGGGGCCCGGCCAGGACATCCCTGATGCCGTGCGGGCCACCTGGGTTGCTATGGCATCTCATGCTGGTGGCTGTCACTGACAGCGATCTGTGCAGCGGTGCGTTCCTCTCCACAGCCGCTGTTGAGTCAGTGAGAGTCAGCAGGGGCGGTTGAGGAGGTTGGGGCCCGGGGTCGGCAACAGAGGAAGAGGTGGGGCCAGTGACGGAGAAGGAGGCGAGCCCGGCGACGGAGGAGGCGGGGCCCATCAGCGACTGTGGAGGAAGAGGAGGTGGACAGGTTCTGCAGGGTCACCCTCAAGTGGGCTCTGCAAGAGGTGTAACTAAAATCACAGGGCCCTATACAAAATTTTGCTATGGGGCCCTGTGATTTCTAGTTACGCCCCTGGATTTTGACATTGACATGCAAAAGAGAAATAGGACACAAATTGTCCAAAAACTGTGTGCTTTTTTTTCCAGCTTCAGAAGCATAACTATATTGGCTTTCAGCATATTAGGGGTAAGATGGCTGCTTTATAAATCCCAACAAATAAAAATGTCAGGACAGAATGAAAAGCCCCAAAATGATGTCTTTTGGAAAGTAAACACTCCAAGGTGACATGCTGAATTCCAGGCATGAAAACTTTCATTTAAATATAGTCCTCAATATCCGGAAAGGATACAAATTCATTTTGTGTGCAACAAATGGCTATTAAAACACAGTTATTACCTTTTAAAAGTAGCATTGTGCTGTACATAGCCTTGTACTGTGGGAGGGACCCAGCAGGCCCCACCCACTTCAGGCTCCCTGCAGGAAACTATAGGAGGGGGTGGATACAAGACCAGTCACCGTGCACAGAGAGAGCAGCAGTGACCGGTATTACAGGAGGTTTCACACTGGATTACCACTTAGATCTTGAAGAAATACACAAAGCACACCAAGATTCAGAAACGAATAGACATGACTATTGTATTTCAGACATCCCAACCTGCAAAACCTTATTTCAGGGAGGTTCCCATCTCATTTCAGGGAGGTGCCCTTTACAGCGACCGTCGTCAGACTATAAAAGAAATAATAATGATAAGAATAATTAGGGTTAACAGCACTCTCTCAACCCTGCAGCAGTGCCTGTACCTGCTCTCAATAGTAATCTATGTCCGCCCTCTCTGTGCAGCAAGTAGCTTCTTCCTTCTGAGGCTACTCTAGAGATCACATGACCTTCATCCAGGAGGCAAGCCTCACTCTGAAACCTTACCCACTGATATCTTATCGGGAAGGTCTACTCAGAGTAAACCTTTCAGGGAGAAAATGCCTCTCTCGCGGAGGTCAGGGAGCCGCTATCTAATAGAGGGACACTCCCTGAACATCAGGGAGACTTGAGATCCCTGGTATTTAGACAATATTTGTTTATCTGACAGTTTCGCTTTAGAGGACAACATTTGGTTGCGATATTGCAGTTCTGAAAATCATCCACATTTACAGTGGAGTGCACAGAGAAATCCTCCAAATACTGGAGTGCCAGGGACAGGTAGTAGATCTGGATTCTTACAACCTAGTAGGTAGGCTATTGGGGCATAATAAAATAAAGCGGCTTCCTGTCCTGAGCTTGCACCAGCACCGCCCGCCCCCACGGTGGCGATGTAGACTAGGTAAACTCTCAGGACTGCGCCTCCTAAATGACGTAATCCTGTGTTTAAACCACAGAGAAAGAGTATCACCAATTCGTGATCAAATCATTTCTCACAGCTTGTCTTTAATAAGTAAACCGCCTGCCACTCTCCTGAAGGCTAAACTATATAAAATACAGAACGTGGTATTCACAAAAATGGCTCCTGGAACAGGGACAAGTCCGTATGCAGGCGAGAGGATATGACGTCATGCAGACAGGAAACGCAGAGTTTTGTTGTCATTGGAGGTCACCACGCATGCGTGTGAGAATCAGCTGAAGGCTCCGTTCGGCGGTTGTCTTACTGGTGGGTTATTCCAGCTCTAAGGTGTGTTGTCATTCGATTTATGGGGTGCGTAATGGATGGTGGCACAGCGGACAGGGAGCTCCACTTTTATTTACAGTGACTGCGTAGAGAATGTGAGGCTTCCTCTGTCACCCTCTCCTGTCTCTGTGCAACTTTCCTCCTATAAGGTAGTAGCAGGCATGCTGTGTGGGGATTTGACATCATACCGGCCTGATGTGCCTGGCCTTCAGTGTCAGCCTCAGGTTTTTAAAGATTCTGTCCTTATAAATGTCTGGCTTGAAAGTGACCCTGGAGGCTCCTTTTTTAAAGTCCCCTCTTAATCCAACATAAGTTACTCTACCCATCACAAGTCCATTAATCTTTCAAAAACATTCATATACCTTTCTCTGACCTTTTTAAATATCCTCTCAGCATGTCCCTGAACAGGGCTCATTTGCCTTCACTTCCTGTCTGTGTGAAAGCAGCATACATATCTTTCAGTCACATGCACCACTCTGATGAAACAAATACCATCTGTCATTGATGTGCGTGGGCTCGGTGTGAACCCAGTTCCCCTGAAGTCCACACAGAACTGTCTGACACCCCTTCCTCCCGGACCAATCAGTTGCAGCAGGGGCATCATTCTTCACCCTGCGGCTACGCACCACAAAAGGGTGGGGAATGATGCTTCTGCAGCTGATTTGGCCCGGTTGTTGGTTGTGTGTTTATAAACACCAGTGTTTTAGCTATGGTATTTATAGCAGGGTTTCCTCTGTTATTTACAAGTCCCAGGGGAGCGTGTGTTGTGATGTCAATAAGCTCCACATGCACTGTATTTGTAAACTTGTTTTAGTTTTATTGTTCTAGTTGTTGCATTTAATTAAACAAGGATATACATCCCATGCAATACTTGTTTTACAGGTGCTACATATGATTCGCTAGCCATTTGCTTAGTTCGGTGTAGCAATCTTTGTGACGCTTTAAGTGCATCTAAACTCAGGAGTTACATCTTAAAGGAGAACTTTGGGGTCAGGGCTTTTCCCCATAGTTCTCCTAAGGGTAGCGAGAGGACACAAACTAGCGTCATCCCGTCACCCAAAGCTCAGTATACCACGAGCTACAACTCGCGGTATACTGAGACGCCGCAGCCGGGACAGATCCTGACATTACTGATTAGATCCACCCAGCTGCGTGAGTGACAGCTGGCTCTGCCTATATAGAGGCAGAGCCAGCTGTACCCACCCCCTCCCCTGTGAGTTCCCGCAGTCAGTGCTGGAGGAACGGGGAGGGGGGAATCCCTGCAGGGAGCCGTGAGTGACAGTCACGACTCTCTGCAGGGACAGGATCGAGAAGTGAGCGACGGTTTGTCAGCTGTCTGCTGAGTTAACAAACTGCCACTGAACGATGTGCTGCAAGTCAGCGCTCAGCACTGCTAACTTAGCACTCACAGCTGAAGTGGATGCAGAGCGTTGAGTGTGATGGAGAAGGTGGGGACAGAGCACCAGTGGCCATTTTAACTGTGGGCACACCTGCAAGTGCTGGAGAAAGGTGCCAAAACCCTGATGGAGGAGATCAATTCAGTGTGGGAACCTATCATTTAATGTTTTGATGGACGGACACACCTACTATTTGTTGGAAAATGTTATTTATTAGGGTTGCACCGAAATGAAAATTTTAAAAACGAAATGAAAAAAAATGTCAGGCCGAAAACCAAAAATGTTTTTTTCCTAACTTTTTCAAAATTGTTTTATTTTTAATAAACTTTAAAAAATTTAAATTTTGTTTTTATTTATTTTTATTCAATATTTGTATTTTTTACTTTACTGTTGGGGCCTCTGGGGAAATATTGGGGGTCTAAACAGATTTCTATTTTAAAATAGAAAAAGAGATTTAGAACACAGAGTTCTCAATCTTTTTTTCTGCAGCCCCTGTTATAAATCTACAGGAATCCTCTGAGTGTTCCTGTTCATTCATAATTTGAGGACGGAGTATGTTTACTATAACCACAATTATGAATGAACAGGAGGTGATGTAGATCACTTCCCATCCATTTATAGTTGGGGATATAGTAACCATACTCTGTCCTCAATTATCTACAAACACTCACTGATCGCTGAGTGTTTGTACCTCGCTCTCCATCCTGACACGCTGTCACAGGAGGCTGAGCAGAGCGGGGAGAAGATCTCAATCTGGCAGCTGGCCTCCTGTGACGGCACTGCCTGTCTTCTCCCCCATGCGCCGCTATCCTCTGATCTGTGACAGGAGGCTGAGCGGTGTGAGGAGGAGAAATGCCGGCCGCTCACAGCGCTCTCCTCCCGCAGCGCTCAGCCGCCTGTGACAATTTCTCTCCTCCCCGCTGGGACAGAGAGCAGCACTCAGTGGGGAGAAGGGAAAACACGGATGCACCGCTATACCGGCAGAAAAAATTCACTTTCGCCATTTTCGGCAGACGTGTTTTGGTGGCCGATATATCGGTGCATCCCTAGTATTTATTAGGCAAAAATATTATATTTTATAAATATTAACATTTCTAAAGGTTGTTATATTTCTTTGTTGTTATTTTAAAGATCTGGGTAAAGGTCCCCGTTAAAACAGCTGTCTCTTTCATCTGTGTATTTAAAAGTTTGCCTGGATTTTAATATTTCTTTTTTTTGTTTTTAAATATCTTCCATTTTCTTTGTTTTATGCAGAAAAAGACATATTTCTATGCTAAACTGAATTCCAAGGACAATCTAAGAACTGAATTGCCTAAAATAGCTCCAGAATGGCTGCAGACAAAGCAGGAGGTACGTTTATTTTGTAGAAAATACTGTTTATTTTTATTTTAAAATGTTTATGAAATGCTTCTTGCATCAGTGGTAACAAAGAATCTTAACCCCTTAAGGACGGAGGCAATTGTCGAAGTTCTGAATGTAAACAAATCATAGAATTTGAGCTGTATGTCTGCTCAACCATAATTTACCTCATTGTTACATAGTAACTCTTCTTTCTTTCCTCTTTCACCTTAAGAGCACCCACACTTATTATATATTGCTTTTTAGAGGACAAATAGCGATTTCATTTGACATCAAATATTTATAAATGAACTGTAATTATATATGAATAAAATCTAACCAATTATGAGAAATTAACCATTTCCGGGCCGCAATACGTCTGTAGACTGTGGCCCGCAGAAGTGGTTAAAACAAGAACACAGCTGCTGCAGCAGCCGTGTTCTTGGTGTCGTTTTTAACAGCACATGATTGCTGTAATGTACAAGCGATCCGGCATCTGTACAGCCGCCGGATCGTTGGTATCGTGTGGCACCCTCCCCATCCCCGCTGCGGGCGCTGTTCGCTTCCCCCGGGCACACCGCTATTGTGTTATACATACTGTATAACACAATAGCGCTATACAAGTGGTAACAAAGTAAATCCACAATGGGAAACACTCCAAAAAAGAATTACATGTGTATCTTGTCACAAAGTGCCCAAATACTATGAGAGTGTTCTTTGATTCCCTGAGGGCCCATTCACACCACATCCAGAACATCTCCAGACCAGATTGTTTCCAGACCCAAAATGCATCCTAAGGTATCCCTATGCTATTTCTTGCCTCTGTTCACACCAGCGCAGTCCGTTCCAGACCAGAAAAATACTGCTTGTATCATTTTGTCTGGTCTGGAATGCATTGAAACGCATAGAAACACATAAAACACGCTTGGAACACACTGGACCGCACCTGAAAGCCCATTTTAAACAAAAAAGAAACCAAAATGCACCTAATTGTCGAATGAAACCACCAAGAATGCTGCTGGATATTCCTCCAATGTGAAATCCTGTGATCAGACACAAAATACTCTCCTGCTTACCTTATAAACATTTCACTAAAATGTTTTAGTATGGTCTACCGTGCTCCCCTTTTCTCAACTGAGGTCATGTGTCTCTATAATGAGGTAATGATGTCTTTCAGTTCATCCACACAATGTAATATCCGGAAGAAAAAGGAATGGCATATAGCATAATATCGTTTTAAATCTTAAATATACATAAAGAACTACTCCCATGATCCTTTATTGGAAACAGTCAATAATACAGATTCCACACTCTAAAGCTGGCCATACACCTATAGATTATCTGCAGATTTTCTGTGGTCAGATGGAAAAAGTGCAACAGATTCCTCTAGGGATGTTCAGATACCAAGTACAGAACTCGGTACAAGTACAGATACTTTTCCAGCTCCAAGACTAGACTAAAGAAAAATTAAAAAGTTAGGAGGCGGCTGTAATTTTTAAGGAGCACACGGAGCTCCTGGGATTTGTACATCTCTGTTTTTAATGTATGAACTTGTTTTTATCAATATATATGTGATGCACCGATACCATTTTTCCAAGTACTAACAGATACAAGTACTGATACATTTTTGTTTATTGTCATGTGACAGTTTTTCTAAAACAATACAGACTAATGATTTCAGGACAGTGGTGGAGCGCCAGAGCCAGGTCCCAGTTGCAACCCCTGCAACCCTGGTAGTTCTCATGAAAATGCCAAGTATCGGCACTGGTGACTGAACTGTTATCTGGACATCCCTAGATTCCTCCATCCGCACAGTTCAGCGTAGATGGAGGAATCTGTTGCACTTTCTCCATTCTCCTAGAAACTGCAGATAATCTATAGGTGTATGGCCAGCTTTAGAGGCAGCAAACACTGTTGTATAGCACTCTTCACACCCCCATACACCCCCCACCCCAGTTTGTGATAGTGTATGCTCTGAAAGCTTCTGGGGGTTGTGTTGATAGATTACACCTTACTTCCACAGTAGATTACAATGTACACTGTTAATTCTTTTTTGGAGTGTTTCATATTGTGGATTCACTTTGTAACCACTTATACATATAATACAGTAACGTTTACAAGTGGTTACAAAGTGAATTCACAATATGCAATCCACAAAATCTAGGTAATCCCACTGCCATATTGGTTTCCTCCAAAGTAATTGACTTGAAGCAAGAATTGACTTATTATGGGTCAGGACATCTGACATTTGTAGGCTTGCTCCAGGTAGGTGACTCGCTTAGTATGAAGTAAAAATAACAATTCCAGGCACAAGTAGATAATGTTTTTGTAACTGATTTGACTCTTGGTAGAGATTATCCTATAAAGGGGACAATATTTAATGTTAAAAAGATATTTTGATTTTGAAAATTAGTAATTGTTTTTTTTCTCACTTATTTTTTAAAATTTGTTATGTAGAGCAAAATCCTGAAAAACACGAGGGATCTTCTAATTGTTCTGGCATCTCTGACCAAGAGAAGGAGTTGTCCAAGTCTTCTTTTCAAGCATTCACGGTGACTGAAATGTTCTATTCCTGTTTAGTATCATACTGCTTGTATTGATGAGAATGCTTAATTCAAGCTGCTGCTCGGGGAGGAATAGCTTAAAAATGTGTGCTGTTAAAAAATGTAAACCCAATGTCTTACCTAAAGCTCACCACACATGGTACAATCTCCTTTAGATCTACCAACCACTATGAAGTGCATGGGCATGCCTGATTGAACACAATTTGAATTGATACATTAGGAAGGCTCTCGTATTACATAGTTTTGGTAAATCTAAAGTTGATTTACAAAGATTGTAATGCAGGGGTAGGCAACTTTGGCACTCCAGCTGTGGTGAAACTACAGATCCCTTCATGCCTGTGGTTGTTAGTCTTCTAATCATCATTGTGCATGTAGTTTCACCACAGCTAAAGTGCCGAGGTTGCCTATCACTGTTGTAATGTGTATGGTGACCTTCAGGCTAGGTTCACACTTAGGCGACACCTCACTGTGCGGTCAGGAGTCACCAAAGTGTGAACCGATCGCACTGTGGGTGCTATTTTCTAATGGCACCCCAGTCGCACTGGGCTGATTGCGCGGTTTCCCGCCGCAATTCCGCCCATGCTTCCGAACACGATCGTGGCTAAAAAAGCCGCGTGTCGTGTATCGCAAAAAGAAGGTACTTGTACCTTTTTATCTGTGATTGCCGCGCGGATTTCACCCTATTGAAATCAATGGGGCCGTGTGGCAACCGCTGCCTGCATTGTGCAGGACTGCACGACACCGGGACACGTGTCCTGGGTGTAGTGCAGGTGTGAATCTAGCCTAAGACCTCATTCACACTGAGCGATTTGTTATCTTTAAATCATTTGGACTGAATTTATGTATGTCTGAGAATTCAGTAAACATTCAAAACTTTATATGCAGACAATGTGATGACAGATATTGAGCCTTGTTTGTATGTTTAAACCCTGAGGGCTTGTTCACACCAAGTGCGTTCCAGGAGCAGAGCATGTAAAAAAAACTGCAGCAAGTCCTATTTTACCTGCTCTGGAACTCATGCAAATGCATCAAAAATGCATTCAAACGCACTGAAAGCCCATTTTAAACTAAAAAAAAAACCAAACGGCCGGAACGCATCAAAAACGCGGTGTAACACACTGCTTGTGCAGAAACTCATGCAGATCTGGTCTGCATTTGATGTGTACAAGCCCTAAATGGTTCTTATTGGTTAGCGTTGTATGTTTTTATTAATAATGGTAACATTGGTGATCATTGTATGTTGGTATTTATATTACATTTGGAATGCCTTACATTTTAAAAGCTTTTGTACGTGTGCTTGATACAGTTTCTCTTCACCAGGCAGGGAATTATGAGACATGTCTTCAGCATCTTGGTGAACTGAAAGAAATTAATAAAGATGACTACAAAATAATGTTGAATATGGCAGTAGCAGAGTTTTATAAAAGTGACCAGACCACTACGGACATTTTAAAACAAACATTGAACCAACTGAGAAATGAGGTAATGGAAAGTACATCATGGCTTCCTATTAATAATGGAATAGGGTTAAACTGGGTACCTTAAGGTTTATCACTATTTGACGCTGATGGTTATCTGACGTCCTATGCACTGGTTACAGAAGTTCCCGTCCTCAAATAATCTAAAAGGTGCCTAAAATTATTTGCGCACCTTTTTAAGTTATTGTGTGCTGCACCCCAAAAATAAGGAAGGGCAGATTTGTTTTTATCGTTTCTGCAACACCATGTGGCGTCACAGATTTTGCCTCTGTCACATCTTCATAAACCTTGGTGATGCAGAAATAAGGACCTATCTGCCCTTCTTTCTTTTTGTAGCTCACCCCAGCTTGCCCTGACAAAACTGCTCTATTTACAGTTGCTTTTTCTTTTCTGCTTCATCTTTTATAGTAAGTACTCATTTTAGTTTTTATTAACTTGTTTAATGTGCCATTCACATTTTTTTTCACTCTCTTGCTTTTGTATATATTCTAATCACTAATTAGCATACAAATTGTCCCTCTCTGATCTGGTAGCTCCCTTAGAATCCCCCTTAAAAAACTGCTAATCTTAAGTCTGTTGTTTTCAGTCAGTCTGTACAGACTAACAGATTTGCTTTGAAAAATATGCAGTCAAGCATCATCGGAGTACCCCACTTCGAAGCAGGAAATGTTGTCTACCTATTTAACATGCAAATACAATTGCTCCAATATAATATGTTTACAAATGACACAGTAACAATGTTTGTAGAACGTAATATGCTTTGATACACTATGATTTCCCTTTTAAACATAATTTTATTTCCAGTAAGCATATATTTTAAAGTTGCTCTGTCTCAAAACTAAAGCTGGCCATACACTGATCTAATCTTCTCATTCAATCCAAGGGCTGAACAAGAAAAATAGAGCAGATTCCTCCATCAACACTTAGGAGTGTGTTAATCGAGGAATCCTGCTGTTTGCATTGTATTTTGACAGCGCACCCGGCTGCTGTACCTGATGAGAGCAGGCAGCTCATTGGCTGCCGGCTCCTATCATATGAAAATTTTCCAACCAGCTCCTTCGATCAGCTTATCGAGGAATGCTGACAGAAAGGGTGCCGACAGCGGCACACACTGTGCGAATTTCGTCCGGTTCCTCAAAAAACGCACAGTGTATTGTCACCTCAAGAAAAAGACATCTGCTAGCAGGTATAATGTGCACACAAACATACCTGCAGGAGCTCTATTTATCCCTTCTGTGCCTGAATACTGGACCTTTCTGAATGGATAAAGCTCAGACAATTACTGATAATATTGGGGCTTGCCTGATCCCTTGCACTATGATGGGCTGCCTTACTGGCCAGCAGGATTGTATGGCAGACAGAAGGGATCAAGGCAAACTCAATCACTACCAGGAAGTGCTGGACCTTTGCCCCTTCAGAACGCCTTGACATTTGGGTGTCGCAGACATAAGGAGAGCTGCTGCAGGTATGTTCAGATACCGCTGGGTGCCAGTACTTTCTACATGCAGCTTTATAAAGAGATGGAGCCCTAATTGGCTAACTAAGGATACATGTCTGACAAAAATGCCATTCCCCTGACCTGTAGCACCATTATTGTCTATAAGACCTCCTACATGTTTGCTTGAATATCCCAGCTCACTGCTGAGCCTGGTGCATGCTGGTGGAAAAATCCATTCTTATGTAATTGATGTATCTGAACTTTCCATTGGAATACCTCCTATGTGAATTTCTAATATGCAGAAGTGTGATCAATTCCTTAGAGGATAAATTGCTGTTCTACAATAACAGATTGCGGCAGCTGAACTGTAACTGCATATGGCCCCGGTAAAACAATCCATAAGAGTAAGATGACAGGAAAAATGGTCTGTTTTAACATGAAATATCCTTTAAAGCTGGCCATACACCTATAGATTTTCTATGGTCAGATGGAAGAAGTGCAACAGATCCCTCCATCTATGCTAAACTGTGTGGGTGGAGGAATCTCTCACTTGGCCAAGCTTCAAGATCTTGCTAGTCGGCCCCGCTGGCTGTCAAAATACCTGAACAATCTGATTGGATGCAGGCATAATCTATAGGTGTACGGCCAGCTAAACTCCTCTTCTCTACAGTCTTTCCTTTCTGTTTTGTAACTTCTTTTGCTCTGCTGACCCTTTTCAATCACTTACCTGATCAGTACCTTTACATTTGAACACATGTTGTACAATTTAACCATTAAGGTCTATTAGACCAGTACTCATTTAATCTTGAGGGCAGATACTTTCCTTATTTGCTAATCCGTTTCACATGTATTTCAACATAGCCTTGGTAACGTCTCCTTTTTTTTCCCCACTTCTTTTTTCTCTGCCTTTGATTCGTTGCTTATTTTGATAATTACAACTTTTGCTTTATTTACCTATGTTACAATTTAGATATAAATGATCCCTTACTGATTCCAGATTTAGGAATCCTTTTGGATTAAGTTACTAAACATTAGGGCTGCACAGATACCAAGTACAGTACTCGATACAAGTCCGAGTACATGTACCGATACTTTTGAGCTCCAAGACTAGACTAGAGAAAAATTCAAAAATTAGGAGGCAGCTGTCATTTGTAAGGAGCACACGGAGCTCCCGGGATTTGTACATCTCTGTTTTAATGTACGATTTTGTTTTTATAAATCTAAATAAAGGGATGCACAGATACCAGTATTGCGTGTACGAATACTGGTACTTGCCGAGTACTTACAAGTACGAGTACTGCTACATTTTTGTTTGTCATGTGACAGTTTTTCTAAAACAATACAGACTAATGATTTCAGGACAGTGGTGGAGTGCCAGAGCTAGATCCCAGCTGCAACCGCTTCAACCCTGGTAGTTCTCATTGAAATGCCAGGTATCTGCACTGGTACTCAAAAAGTATCTGTGCATCCCTACTAAACATCTTTTTTTAGTTACCTATATATGATATGCTTCGTCATTCCTACTTTGTGTTTGCTGTTGCACTTTTTATTGTTAATGTTTGCATTGCTTATAAATGTTAATAAAAGCATTGAAACTGAAATATCCTTTAATGTCTTATTGCTTGAAGTGCTAGAGATGGTGCATAATATCTTTCACATTCCCATATTTAGATTCATTCAGCTGTTGATGAGATGGACAGTTTAGATGATGTCGAGAATAGCATGCTGTATTACAATCAAGCTGTCATTCTGTATTACCTGCGCCAGCACATGGAAGCCATTGCCATTGGCGAAAAACTTTACCAGTTCATTGAACCTTTTGGTAAGTACCTGCTGATTCTTGCCGAGTCAAACTTTTTATTACATTCTTTGATACATTTTTGAAAGTTTTGCAAGTTTTGTGTCGGTTTCAGACAAAAAAAAGTCATGTTTTCATGAAAAGCAACTTGGAATTTAAAGAAGTTATTTTGTTGGTTAACTTCACACCGCCTGATACTTGACAATTCTTGTTTAGGTTTGCTGGCTCTTCCTTTTGAAGCTTTTGCTTTTTCTTGTCAGAAATGTAAAATTTAGGTAGTACATGCTTAAATATAGTTTTCTGATATGTATAAAAGTTCCCTATACACAGATGAGAACCAATCTTTTCTAATTGCTGTCATTTTTAGTTTGGTATATTCTGCTTCTTCATCCACATCCTGCAGTGTCAGCTGAAGAGGTGATAGCAAAATGTCTGTGTTTAAAATGCTCTGTAAGAAATGCAAAAAGTTGCAAGCTTTGCAATGTGAAAACTAATTTGCAGCATTAGATCAAACATATCATATCATATAAAATAAAACAATATACATAGTGTTCATTTTTATGAACTTTCAAAGCTGCCGAATCTGCTGGTTGAAATTCTGAAATAATGATTCATACCTATGAAATCTGTGACCTTTTATTTGTGACTTAAATATTTGCTACCACTCAGCATGCAGGGTCAGATAAAGAGCAGGGTGAAGTTCCCCTTTAAAGGTCATGATATATGGAGAATGTGCTAAGTCACAAATCCAGTTGTCCATAGAAACCAGTTCGCTTCTTCCATCCGTCAGTTTTGCAGGCTAGGTTTGAATATATATCTAGTGGGTTGTTTTTGACAACAATGCAATTTTCGTGTAGCAGTTTTCATGCAATATGGTGGCTTTGTATGTTTCTACAGTTTGAGGAAGACATTTAGTTTGAATATGATTTTGTTTAACATAATGGTATGGTTTAGGCCTTACTCTAATCATCCTAAAATGTTCATTATACAATGTAATTGTTCATGTTTCTGTATACTTTCTTTCCCATCATGCTGTCTTTGACGCGACATTTTAGGCATGCGTCTGAGAATACCTAGATCATCGCACCACAACCCTTACGGACCATGCACAACACACAGCCGAGGTGAAGATTGTTACTAATTTTTAGTGTTCCCCTTTTTATCCCAAGATCCAGTGGAAGCTGGCAAGCATTCAGGATCCTGTACCATTGGAAGCTGTTCATAAATGTTTACAAACTAGTGTTAAATTAACTTTGTTTGCAGCACCTAAGGGTGTTGGATTATGCTCAGACTTCTTTGTTTTCATATGTTTTCTTTAGACAAACTTCTTAATTACATTTTTCTTGGGCCCCCGCCATGAAGTAACTTGGAGGTCCTCCTTACCCCCCTCCCCCTTCACCCAATCCACAGTTCCTGATGTTATATGCAAGGGGAGTATAGGAGAGGATGGGGGCATAAGTAGCCACTGCTCATTTTCTTTACATAAGGGGTAGCTTGGCTGTGGCTTTTCTGGACAATGTCTTTAACAAAAAAGTGAGGTCTGATAACAGGGTCTCTTTAATTAAACTATTGCAGCAGTATAGAATTAACAGCTTGCAGATTACCCCTAGGGTTCATCAAGGGCCCATTCACACTGGTCTGATATGTTGTAGTTTTTAACCGCATGAATGCTAATATACAATGCACCTTGCTGTTCATTCAGTGGGTTGCCAGCAGACATGCACTATATTTTCAATTTAGTGTACCACTACACACATATGGTTTACATCGGTGTGTTGCCCTGCAAGGCAAGTGAGCTGCCCAGGTGCATCGGAGTGCCAGTTAAAATTCATGTCACCACAAAACATCCCAGTTCGCTTTATGCATTACCTTGCATTATTGCAATGTACAAGTTTCGCAAGAATTTCAGGAGTATAAAATTGTTCTCTGTTTGAGCCCAACTTCTGCCTTCCACCCCCCCATCCCTCCCCATCCCTACCCATCCCTACCCATCCCGAGCCATTGGGGCAAACAGAAAGTAGTGTTAGTCTCTAGTGCTGCAAGCATTTAAAAGAAAATGTGACACCTTGTGACAGGATCTGTGTCAGAATAGTTACTTGTAGGGGATTTTTCAGCACAGAATCACTTCAAATTTCAGAATGATCAAATTATGTTCAGCGTTTAATGTCCCTGGGAAATCAAGGAACAAGTAGTCATTTCATTAACATCTTCCCTTGTGGGACATGTTCAGGCAGATTAAGTCATTTTATAAAACGTAATTGTGTGATTTATCATTGACTCTAATTGGTAGTGTTAATTGCTTGCTAAATCCAGAGCTTGCAATACATCAATTAACTTTCCTGTTTGAAATGGTTTCCCTGAATTGTTTAGAGGCAGTTATTTTACCACTGCTTAGATCTGGGAGGTGTGTTTTCTTTTCTGTATATGGCACAGCATGCATTTTTGTTCTTTAAAACTCTCTGCATTATCTTTTGTTTAAGGAATTAAGGTTTACATATTGATAATCTCTCTATCTCTTTACATGCAACCACCAGAATGTAGTGGAGCTGTAGGAAGTAACTGTAGGTTATATGGACCAGTTGGTTTCGATGGCTGGGTCAGAATTAGGATTTCCAACACTAGTACATCATGCCAATCACAGGGAGTCTAAATACATGGCTGTCATGGTTCTAAAAGTCTAGGAAATGCTTTTGGTTTCTTCGTGCAGCTCATAATTCATACTGTCCGAAGGAATAGCTCTCCCCACAGATTTCCCCTAAACTAATATTATGATCATTGTTATTATACAGAATTTATATAGTGCCCACAGTTTACGCAGCGCTTTACAATACAAGGAAGACATTACAATCGCAATACAATTCAAGACAATATTTTTAATCTTATGAGAGATGAGACATATTTCCTCTCATCTCTGGAAAATTAGTAATGATTCCAGACAGTGTGGTGCCTCAATGTTTAATGATCATGCATGCATGCGTATATACAAACAAATTAAACATGCATGTTATTTTCTTCTTGCACTGGGAACGCTGCATGTCCCAAGTTTAAACAGCTCTTGTCTCGCTAGCCTCACATTTGCTGCTTTAAAACATTTTTAACTTAAGTTTTTTTACTTTTATGTTATCTGATTCTTTAACATTTATGAAAGAGAGAAGTGCATCAAGATGATTAGCGTTTAGAAACAGAGATATCCTCTGCTATTTGATATTGTTTTGCATGATCATAGGTTGGGATGGTGTGTGAGGTCGAACATGAGGTCAAATAAGGCAGTGAATAAGCTAGGTGATCTTTCAGTTTGAAAAGTCAGACTCTATGAAAAGCGAAATAATTGGGCAAATCTAAACCATAGCACTGAATGTTCATGGTCTTGCATGATCCCAAGAATTATTGTTCTCTTTAAAATAGACCAGTGTCCATGAAGAATGTGCCAGTTGCTCTAACATTCAGCAACAGTCAGGTTTCAGTCTATGGTAGAGTGTGTTTGCTTTACTGCACCTATCTTTTTGAATAAAATAAATAAATCCCGGAGGAGTGGAGAGTGAGACACTGAAAGGAGGATCCTCAAAATGCAAGGTGCTGTAAAAACGATTCTTAGTGGTTTTGTACATAACTTTTTGAACTACCCTTAATTTTGTTTTTAAGTTAAACATGAAATATGTATTTGTTAATTTTCCTTTTAGCCAGCATGTGGTCCTTTGTACTCCTGATTAAGTTGATAATCTGCTGTGTATGACAATTCCTGATTAATGCATATGCATGGAGAGTGCTTCATTCTCCGAAAACAAAAAGGGGTTTTCGTTTATTGTTAAAAAAAAAAAAAAAAAAAATGTGTAGTTGATAGCAAAATAGGAGGCATAGCCTAGCATGAGAATGGAATTTAGTTAGATAAGAAACAGTGAGAGATAAGACGCATGAGAACGGACAAGAGGATGCAAAAGAATACATGGCTATATGTGTGAGAGAATGAAAACAAAAGATCTTCTTGTACTGTTGTACTGCATATTTCTGAGCTCAACAATCTGCTTAAATGGCAACTCTAACAAGTATAACTGACTTTGGTTAGCACAACTCTAGCTAGCTTCTTGCACACTCCTTTCCAACATCTTCATTTGCTTCTTTGACAAAAATGCCTGTTTACAGAATTCAAAAGCTTAAGCTAAAATTTTATTGGTAGTGACTTGGTGACTTTAGACCGTTAGTATAAACGTCACATTCAGGCACATTCAATCAGTGTATAAATTCCCAATATCCGCCATAAATAGCATCTAGTCCTGATAGTATCAATGTTGCTGTCCACCTTACACTGCGTTGTGTGCCCTGCAATGGTGTATCCCCACTGTAGCATGGCCATGGTGTATCCCCATTGTAGCATGGGGATAAGCAATTGCAGGGGACACGACGCAGAGGACTACATGCTATTTACGGCTGATATTGGGAATTTATACCCTTATTGAATGTACATTGTGGACGAGAAGTTTATATAAAGGGTTTAAAGTCTCTGAATCCATCTGTCCATCATAACATGATAATGGAACCCATTTATATGGGTACTGATGAGGTCATGCCAAGTGTATCCGAACGCCCACCCACCTGTTTTTGACGCACCGGTTCCTTTTTCTTTTGTTAACTATTGATGCATTCATACCAAGCTCTGAGCCAATATTGTATATAATTTTTTGCTCCTAAGGAACGGGTAATTACCATGAAACGCGCAGAGAAAGTTATATACACCCCTCTACACAATATCGATTACTGTCTATTCCACAAGGAACCTTAAGGGTTATATATTAACTTAAGAATATGATATACAATTTATGGAGAGGTTGTGTATATCTTTTGGGTAAAGAATCTTTTAGATGGATGTAGAGAATGGAGTTTTTGCTTTTTTTTAAAAAAAAACTGTTACACAATTTTTATGATAAGCTTTTGTAATAAAAATGTTTTTACATACATCAGCATTGTCATGTTTCTGCCTAAAAAGTCCACTATTTTGTTCTTTTTTTTCTGCATACTTAAATTGATTTAGGATGTGGCACAATTGAATCCCTCTCCATTAACTAATAAAATATATAGTATATTGTATTCAAATGTTAGTGTAAAGCATTGTTTTGCAGCGATGGTTAACTAGAGTAATAGTACTTGCTTAATTTTCAGGGAGAACCCACTGCCCCTGTCTCCCTTCTGTGATGGCATGGAGCCAGCACTGGAGGGTGCCTGGAGCAGCCTCTTTTTCTGAAAGGTTATATCTATTCTATCTGTCGATCCAGCTAGCTATCAGGCCTTCTATTTTTAGTTATACATCTTGGCAGGACAGCAAGTATAGGGCCAAGCTGATGCTATATTTTCTACAGAAATAACAAAAATCTTGCATATTTGAAATATTTAGATGCAGAACAAATTCTTTTAAATATGTACCCAAACTTATATATATATTTTTTGGCAGGAGAACTAATTTAATAAAACACAAATGGTCTCTTCTCAGTGTTGATATTTACAGTTACTACCCATAGTTACTTATAAATTTACAGATATTACAGTACAATGTTTTGTATATATCAAAGTGGATGTTGGGGGGAAAACCTGAAAACCTTTGACTGCTTGTCCCCCCTCTGTGTAGTTTTTCTTTCCTCCTGCAACTTTTTGTTTTCAAAATGGAAATAGGCAGGTATTGATTTGGTTTGCATCGCTACCTGGTGGTGGCATTTGACATGGCAGTCCAATATATAGATACTGTACCATGATTTCCTACAGGAATCCTTTTTATTAATTTTTTTTTCACTTTTTGCTTCAGTCGTCCAAGCACATTATACAGCAGAAAGGGAGTTCCACCATTCTTTGCATGGGGGCTGCAACAAGTGGGAACCCTACATGTATGTAAAGTATCTCTAATTAAATATTGTGGAATCATTATGGTTCTTTTACTATAGGTCATTTTTCTTCAAGTTTTCCTTCTGATTCCTATATTGATAATTTCACACACTTCCATGGAGTTTACAAAAAAATGATTGAACTTGCCTGAGTATCATTGTTTCTGAATAATAAGAGGGTCACTGTAATTAGGTCTAATTCCGAAATTCCCTATTTATTGGCTAGCAGTGGTCCTTTTCCCAGTTTGAATGTTTCCTTTGCGTGTTATGGTTTCTTGTAACAGTCCAAAAATATACTGGACTGTTGACTGGCCTCCAGCCACACTGACCATTATTGTGTGCTTGTCAATATGACTGAAAAAAGTGCATGAGGTCTTACACTCCTTGGGACAGGGGCAGATCTAAAGTGTTCTGTTTTCTGTTTAAAGCACTATTAAGTATGTTGGTACTGCTTAAAGAAATAAATAAAGAAGGCAATACAACTCACTAACATTTTCCTACTTGTTTATAAGGTATGTGCATGTTATCAATAAAAAAGAAGCAAACTTTTGGTTATTTTTTTTTTTTTATGCTAATGACCGTTAACAGAACAGAGACGTATTCCTTGTTTTCTCTTTCAGAGGAAAAGTTTGCTCATGCTGTCTGTTTTTTGCTTGTGGACCTGTATCTATTAACATACCAAACTGAGAAGGCCTTACATCTGTTGGTAGTGCTGGAAAAAATGCTTTTGCAAGGCAGCAACAACAATAAAAATGGTAAAAATAACGAGGTAAGTCATTGTACAGAAAATGTTATCGTTAATAGTCTGTATGACTATTTCTAGCAGTAAAGGTGACACCCTTTCTAGCAGTAAAGGTGACGCCCTTTCTAGCAGTAAAGGTGACGCCCTTTCTAGCAGTAAAGGTGACGCCCTTTCTAGCAGTAAAGGTGACACCCTTTCTAGCAGTAAAGGTGACACCCTTTCTAGCAGTAAAGGTGACACCCTTTCTAGCAGTAAAGGTGACACCCTTTCTAGCAGTAAAGGTGACACCCTTTCTAGCAGTAAAGGTGACACCCTTTCTAGCAGTAAAGGTGACACCCTTTCTAGCAGTAAAGGTGACACCGGGGGTGATAAGCTGGGGATGTCCTCCCCAAGAAAAAACAAATTGGTGATTCAGTCCACTAGCATAAGCAACATGTTTGAGTAGGGTGATCCTTAATTCCTGTTAGGTTCGGGTATAATCTGTTTTGTTCCAGCTAGTTAAATATTGAACTTTTTTCATGATTTGGTTGTTTCACAGTCCACTGAAAGTATAGAGTCCCTTTTGTTTAAGCCTCTTCATATAAACGGTTAACAAATCATGACTTGACTCCTGAGAACAAATTTATTGGGGGCAATTTAATAAGGCATTTGCAACACTTGTTACATTAGAAAGTCCTGCGCCTAATTTATGAAAGCCGTTTAACAGTTTTGTTAAATCATATCCAAAGCCAAGAACAAAAATTTAATCTATCGCAGCTTACTGATCCTTAGATGTGTGTGGCTGGATTCGATTTCTTTATTCAGGCCTATTTTCCCTTTACGTAGCTGAATTGCTTTTTTATTTTGCAGACAAGCAATACCACCAGCAACAAGGAAGCTTTAATTATGAAAGCTGAAGCAGGAGCTCAACTAGAAGCTGCAAAGTCCAAAATACACCAGGTATATATATGTTTGTTTTACAGGGAAAAGGAAAGTAATTCTCAAAAACAGCCCTCTAAAAAGCCACCATAAAAAGTTTCCTTTGCTTCAATATAGGGGGCAGAGATCATTACAGGGTGCTTTCACTAAAACATACTGCAGTGTTTTCATTATCATGCACTTCTTTTTTTTGGTATCGGAAATTGTATTTTAGTTTACTAAGGGTTTCACCACACACATCCACTGAATTTACCAAATGCACATTCTATTGTTGTGGTATTTTGTTATTGCTCCTTCAAATCCTGCTGGCTTCTGGCTGGTGTTTTTGAGTTGCAAACATGACTTTCGTGTAAGAGCATTATGGGCCTCTAAAGGGAGCACAGTGCGGTAGCTGTTTTGCTTTTAGACGGTCTTTGTCTTATTAATAGTCTCTGTAAAGCCTCAAAGAGCAGAGGGTAAGAGGTGAATCACTGGTCAGCTCTGTGTGTAATTTGAACTTTGAGTTTCTGACCTCTTTATAATCACAGCAAATCATTTAAGATTAGCATGGTTAATGAAGAAAAACCTAATATACCACCTGCAGGCTGAAAGTCATAAGTGTCAAATGTTTATATGCAATAACGTTTTTTTTTTCTGTCCATAACATAAAGAAAATTAAAACAAAAAATGTTTTTAAAATGTAAGTCGCGGTTGGTATGCTACATTTGTTTATAATCAAAGGTTGTACATTTGTGTTCCAGTACAAAGTGAGGGCCTACATTCAAATGAAGTCTCTGAAAGCATGTAAGAGAGAGATTAAGTCCGTCATGAACACGTCTGGAAATGTAAGCTTGTATACCATATATAAGATGGACACATCTTGATCATGTCTATATAGTACATTTTTTTTTTTTTTTTTTATCATGGTATTTTGTTGGTCAGGTGCATTTTCTTTTTGCCTTCTGCTTAGATATTTCGTTTTTCTGTTTATCAGATGTTAGAGGTTGTAATATCAGTAATATTTATAAGTATTTAAAGGAGAACTATGGGGTTAGGGCTTTTCCCCATATTTCTCCTTAGGGTAACGGGAGGACACAAACTAGCATCCTCCCGTCACCCTTAGCTCCGAGATGCCGCACCTAAGCTGAGATGCCGCACCTAAGCTGAGATGCCGCACCTAAGCTGAGATGCCACAGTATACCGCAAGCTACAGCTCGCGGTATACTGAGATGCTGAAGCGGATCCCTACAATTTTATGTCTGGATCCGCCCAGCTGCGTGAGTGACAGCTGGCTCTGCCTATCTAGAGGCAGAGCCAGCTGTACCCGCCCCCTCCCCCGTCCGTTCCACCAGTCAGCGCTGCAGGATCGGAGCGGGGAGGGGGGAATCCAGTCCCTCCCCTGTCACAGCAGAGAGCCGTGACAGGATCGAGAAGTGAGCGAACGCCGGTATGTGTTTGCTCACTTCCCGATCTACTGAGCCGACCTGTGACAGTCTAATTGTCACAGGTCGGCTAGAGCTATGAGTGAAAAGCACTTGCCTCATAGTTTTCCTTTTTTAGAGCGTGTGAACATTCCTTTTATTATTAACAAGCTCAAAAGAGAACTGCTTGCCTCTAACAGATCACACTGTAGCAATAGTAATGGTTTAAGGGAAAAGGTTACATCCTCTGCCTGGTTTTTTATTTGCAGACTGTATCCTCGGTGGGGACATTTCTGCTCACTTCCTGATGAGACAGGAAGGGGTGAAAAATCTCTGCAGTGGGAACAGATACTTCAACAAAATTCCTTTTTTTTTTTTTTTTTTTTTAGCTCGGCAGAGCTATTTACTTTTCCCAAGTCTATTAAATAAATGTTTTGGCTAAATTTGAACTTTTAGATGTACGGAATGTGGTAACTTGTCTTGACGCTGACATTTTCCTATTGTGAAAGCTTGTTTATATATTGTTTTTACAGTCCACGTCATCGCTGTTTTTGAAGAGTAATTTTGAATACCTCAGGGGCAACTATAGAAAAGCTGTGAAACTACTAAACTCTTCAAATATCTCAGAACATCCTGGGTTCATGAAAACAGGTACATGTGTATATATATTTTTTGGACAATTCTAATAATAAGGCACACGTCTGTTGTGCACTACTAAACAGGAAGCACAGGCCACATATGCCATAAGCCAATATGGCTGCCCCTCCGTAAATATACCGAACAATTTATTAACAACACCTGTCTGCCTGCTTATTCATGTAATCATCTACTCCAATCGTGGAAGCAGCACGGTGCATTAAACCATGCAGATAAGTGTGGAGCTTCTGTTAATGTTTACAGCAAACACCAGATGAGGAAAAAGTTGACTTGGACCATGGCATCATTGTTAGTGCTGGATGAGCTGGCTTGAGTATTTCTAAAAGTGCTGATCTTAGTTTTTTCTTTTTTTGGTGCAAAAAACAAAACCAATCAACATCCAGTCAGGTTTACGGGTTTATTAAAGTAATACCAAAGCACCCCATTGGCAAGACTTTGGTGGTGGAATGCAACACATGGCTTTTTACACATGTCTGTGCTTGCAAAGGTCAACCTAATGAATGTAGAAATTGAATGGTTTGGAACTTAAACAAGAACTCCTGTGTGGACAATTGTCCCCAGTACTGACACTGTATAGCCCAATTCTAGCTATTGTAATGCATTTATCCTTTTCAGCACTTTAAGAATGGAAAATGCTTACTTACAGCCTCACTTCATTGAGATCTTCACTATGCGGCCTGCATGGCCGTACACTGCATCTTCCTAAAATTGTTAGAATTCTTCAAAGAAAAATGCAGAGTCACAGAGCTCAAAGAATCAAATGCATGTCAGGTGTTGGGGCACCTGACATATTCATACATGTTTCGGGTCAGTGACTCTCTAAGGGGTTGCTCATACAAACCCCTGGTTTGTCTTCTGTCTTGGCATATAGCTGTAAAAATTGGGGGTTACTTACAGGCACATACAGAGTATGGCTATCACTGACATTCGGTAATCCGCTTGGACACAGGCAGACTTGTCTCTCTTGATAAGGAGATCTAATATGCAACTTAGCACTTGGAGTATCTGCTGTATATGATTTTACTGTATATGACTGTATGTGATTTTAGGTTTACAGCTGGCATGCTAAAGAAAAATGGTTCCTAAAAACAAATTGTTAAAAATGAAGCCTCTTCGGGAGCCTTTCTTATCCGTACACAGTAGAGTGTGCTTTTGTGCAGTGTAGCCATGTGATAGTGTTCTGCAATGTTCTTCATTAGCATTCACAGTCTGTTATTGAACATTACCAACCGGCCTCCAGCTAATATTATTCTATGGAGAGTATTAGTTGAATGAGCTCCTGTTTGCTTTATTAAACCAACTTCTCAAAGTATTGATTTCTGGTATCTGTTTGCACTAGAGTAATGCTCTGTAAATTCCAACATGTCCTAAGGGCGCACTTTCACTTAAACTCAGTAAGCACACCTAATGGCAATCCTTGCATCAAATGAAACTTAGTCTCATTTTTTCATTAGGCACTTTTCTCTGGGAATTTCAAGCCGATGTCTTATTTGTATTAGTGGTTCTTATGTAATAACAGTAATGGAAAAAAAAACGGTAATATATTATGCTAGAACATTTATGTTCATTTTTATCTCTCAATATCCTCCCAAAAAAATGTTGTTTTTTTTACTATGTAGAAATGTTCTCAGGGTCTTATGCATTAACCATCTGAGTCCCAGGGCTATATAATATATATATATATATATACCCCTAGTTATTCAGCACCCACAGGGAACTGTAGATGCCTGATGACTGTAGTTTCTGGTTGCTTGAGAGTTAATAGTAACTTTCAAGCAACAAAGTTACTATAACTATTACACACCCTGGGTGTATATTTATGGAGAGGCTGGACAGAGCTGAAACTGCTCTGCCTGAGTCGCCATACTAACCGGAAGCGCCGTAACATCACTGCACTTCCAATGCATTGTGTTTTTTAAATTTTCTCCTACAGCGCATTTCCTATGGAGCAACCTGTAGAAGGATTGGAAGCCCAGGATCCAATCGATTAAAGTTACTGGGTTTAGTGCTGGACCCCAGTGTCACCTGACTGCTGGCGGTTCCTGCACCAGGAGCCACTGAGTCCGGGTGCCATTTAAACATGGCGCTGGGACAAACAGCCGCACCTATTACATGTTAGAATAAAATGGTGTAAAAAAATGTAGCTTAAATGTTTTACACACTTTCTAAAGGCTGCTATGATTTACTGCTGCAAAAGGATTTTTTTTTTGTTACGCGAGGTCCATTCATTTTCATATTCCAGATTAACGAACCATATATCGTGTTTCCCCGAAAATAAGACCTACCCCAAAAGTAAGACCTAGCACTATTTTTAAACATTCCTGTAATATAAGACCTGCCCCAAAAATATGACCTAGTTTGGGGGTGCGGCCCAGAGAGTAACCAGAATACATTGCGGGGACTAAATGCTGCGCCGCAGCTCCCGCATGCCGCCCCTGTCACGAAATCAGCCGACACCAGTCGGCCTCAGCCTTGCCCCAGAGAACTGCCGCCAGGCAGACAACTACACTTCCCAGCGTGCAGCAGCACAGCGTGGCAAGGAACGTATGGCCAGTGGGGTCGGAGTGTGGAGAGGTGACTGGGCCTCAGTCACTGAGGGAACTTCTGACTGGAGGTCCGTGCAGTCCAGCCTGGCGACGAGAGAGGTGGCTCCCTGGCAGGGATCCCACAGAGAACTGTGGACAGCATCAGAGAGGAGAGCTCCAGGACAGCTGCAGCCTGCAGGTATTGTGACACTGTGTGTGACAGTATTTAAAATAAGACATCCCCCGAAAATAAGACCTAGTGTGGGTTTTTTTGGGAAAAAAAAAAATAGACAGTGTCTTATTTTCGGGGAAACACGGTATCTAAGATAGTTAGATCATCCAAGTAGATTGGTATGGTGTTTTATGCATCTTGTAACATTAAATTATGTTATTAATGTATGTAATCTGTCCATGTTAGTATAACATACAATCCCTACATATCAAAGATTCTTGCCCTAATAGGTTTGGTCTATTTTCAGGGGAATGTGCTCGATGTATGTTCTGGAACAATCTTGGCTGCATCCATTTTGCTATGGGTAAACACAATTTGGGGCTATTCTATTTTAAAAAGGCTATTCAGGAAAATGACAACGCCTGTGCACAGTTAACCTCCCCAAACACAGATCCAGGTAAGAACCCGCACACTTCCCTTAAGTGTTGGTGTTTAATGCAAGTTAAACTGATATGGATGCTGCTTTGCTGACGTGTTTTTGATTGCTCATTCTGAAGAACTTTGCCGTTTAGTGGGTGGCCAGCTTTGTATGTACTTAAAAGGGTGTCGTATATACACCTTTCATGTACCTTGTATACACATGCCTGTTCCGGACAAGGGACACATCAAGAAGTTAGGGAAGGATAAGGATGCACATTTAGAAACAACTCCGCAATGGAAATCCCATATTTCTGTCCTGACAGATCTCAATCAAGGGCACATTCTTATGTCTGTTTTCCTTTGATCAGAAGTGCCTATTTTTCTGCATGAAAATGCATTTGGTTGAAGGTCTGATTGGGCAGGGGTTATGTGCTCATTTGTGTCTAGGTGCTAAAAAAAAAGTTATACTCACCTGACCATCCGAGGCGGCTGGTTCTCAGGCCAGTGTCGAGCATCTTTCCCCCTCTGCTGCAGCGTTTTAAGGATCCTGGTGTCATCACGCTCTCTACACTGTGCATAGACTGTGTATAGAGATAAGGATGCTGAGGAAGAGTGATCACAGAGGCAGGGAGCTGGCTCGGATGGTCAGGTGAGTATAACTTTTTGTTTTGTTATAGCACCTAGAGACAAATGACCACTTAACTCTTGCAGTGCAGGGGTAGCCCCACTGCAAGGGTTTATGCATTTTTTTTTAAACTAGAGTTCTTCTTTTAAAAGAAGGTAAATTAATGAGAAGACTAGTGTAAAAAAAAGAATGCATCTGAAGTGTGTGCGAGGGAAATTGAAGGTACAATACAAGTACATTTCATTTTTACTGTTCGAAGAAATGTTAGAAGTGGGATTTGCCGCTTCTGAATATAATAAAAAACAAATAAACTAATGTGAGTGCCATCACCATGCAATATAAGCATATATGTCACCTGGTTTGTCGTTGCTTTTTAAAGTTTGCATTTCTTGTTTTTAGGGAAGAAATTTTCAGGCAGGCCGATGTGCACATTGTTGACCAACAAACGTTATGAGTTGCTGTATAACTGCGGCATACAGCTCCTACACATCGGGCGACCACTGGCAGCCTTTGAATGTCTAATAGAAGCTGTTCAGGTTTATCATTCGAATCCGCGTCTGTGGTTAAGATTAGCAGAATGTTGTATAGCTGCTAATAAGGGGGTAAGTGCATTCTTCTACAGGATGGTTTAGAGTTTGCTTTACAGTTTCTGTAAAATACGTTGAAAGGAGAATTCTTTAAACTTCTGATTTTGTTTAAATTGGTCACCTTTTGTAATCCGGTTAAAAAATGATTCTAAAATTCTATTTTTGATGGTGCTGCAATGTATTTATCTGCCAGGCACATATGCCAACATGTAGCATTTTATTCCAGTGTTTATCTCCCGCCAGAAAGCTGATGCAGTGGACAGTTTCTTTGCTCTGCCCTTACATTAGCCTTGCTCTAAATCTACAAAATGTAGTGGAGGGTGAAGACACATTTACCATATAAAGTTATCTAGTGCTGGATAGCCCCTAATTTCTCCAACATTTTTCCATTTTATAGATTAGTGTTCTAAAGACAGAATAAAAATGTATTTTAGTAAAAACACCACAAAGCCATGGATTCAGGAGTCCAGGTATCCCATGTATTTTCAGGGCAGCAGTGAGGTGTGTGGGATGGTGGTGGTCAGAACTTGGGACTGCAGGATATTTGGCTACCCACGGTAGTGTCTCATGCAGTATTTCCAGTATTTGAGTTTAGCACCCTGTTGTACACACTCTGTATTGTCCTTTGCTATTGCACCTAGAAGTGCCTTTCTCTTTATTATTTCTTGAAGTGAGTTCTAACTTTGAAAAATGGTGGCTGCAGCATCCCACTTACAGCTCTGGCCACCTAACCAATCCTAGCCTTGTCCTATCAGCAGTATCTCTCACTGACACAGCTTAAGCCAGTAGGATGTGTATTACTGTAATAAAAGGTGAATAGGCACTGTGGGTCTCCTCAATCCTAGATCAAAATGCTTTCCAAGGAAACATTTTAGCAGTCATATAATGGCAGTTTCTTTACGAGAGCTCTCTGTCCCTGCTGCTAATGTTTAATGATCTACAGTTAACGGCTGCCGTCTAATGATGCCCAGCTGTTGGCTGCCGTCTAATGATGCCCAGCTGTTGGCTGCCGTCTCGCTGCTGGCTGCCGTCTCCTGGTGCCCCGCTGCTGGCTGCCGTCTCCTGGTGCCCCGCTGCTGGCTGCCGTCTCCTGGTGCCCCGCTGCTGGCTGCCGTCTCCTGGTGCCCCGCTGCCGTCTCATACACAAATATAGACTGCTGCGGCAACCCACACACTACAGTCAGTGAAGTGGATTGCATGGTAAATATGGTTTAGAGTGAACATTGTGAGCCTGTTTCTACAACTGTATTCTGTTTGTCACTAGGGGGAGCTCATAGTTTGCTCGTATGGTAAAAGCAAGGCTAAAATGTGCTGCATGACTGTTCTGACAGCCATGACATTTAAACTGCTATAAAAAGGAGGAAAATATTTTTATATGATGGGCATCTTGCCAGTTCAAGTCCTTTTTTAATTGCTGCTTTGCAAAACCTGATTTATTAACCGATTAATCGAACTTAATAATCGGCTAACTAATCGATTTTGAAAATAATTGTTAGCTGCAGCTCTACATCCACTAGTTGGGTGCATTTGTTTCAGGTCTGCAAAGTCAGATACATGCCGATTGACGCTTATTTAATGTTAGTATGCACCAAGTGCCTGTCCACCTTAAAGCTGGCCTATGAATAAAATTCACACTTCACATATATCAGTAGAGGGTATGTCAGCATTACCAAATTACAATCATTTTAAGTAAGAAAAGTGGCTCACATACCATACTTGATCATTAGGTTTGTGTGAACATTTTATTTATTACTTACAGGTATTTATATAATGCTGACAATTTTTTTATGCAGCGAATTACGTTCAGGCCCAGCTCTCAAGGAATTTACAATCTAAGGTCCCTATTGCCCAAACACTCAAGGCCCAATTAACCTTTTAGCATGTCTATATAGTGTAGGAGGAACCCAAAGCACAGGGAGAACATGCAAACTCCTTGCAGGTAGTGACTCGAACCAGGCACATGACTGCTGCAAGGCAGAAGTGCTAACCACTGTGCTGCTGTGTTTTTGTGTTTCCTTATGGTAATCTAAAGCTGACCATGCGCTGTTAGAATGTGACGTAGTGACATAGTGTATTTGAGAATGTGGGCTGAATTAAGAAAATATAATAGATTCCTCTGTTCACGCTAAACAGCATGGATGGACAGTTCTCCTGCTGTAGCTATTGTGTTCCGACAGCGGCAGGTGTGCGGGCAGCGGCATAGTAACTGTAGCTGAATGGCCGCAGTTTCTGTTCAGTCAAGACTTTCTGTCCCTGTCAGGCGGAAGGCTGCTGACAGGGCCACCCACTGAGCAGATCTTGGCCAGTTCATTAAGAAATGCACTCGGGGTATAGCCAGCTTGATACTTTTTGATCAATTTAAAAAGTATTGAGCTGGCCATACACTGGTTCTGAGCTGGTCCTACAAAGGGAAGGAGATCATCTGACTAGTGTAATAGCTTTAACTGAAACTCTCATATATGTTAGACTATTGGTGTCATCCAGTCAAGATTAGCCATTCTTTTTGTCCATGTTAAATCAATTTTGGTGCAACTACACAAGAAATGATTGGATAAACTGCAATCATAAGAGCATTGATTAGACAACAGCATAGGCGTATGACCACTCGGTGTGTTGTACCTAAAGGCTGTAAAATGGTAAAGTTGGCATTCTCTGCAGTAATGTAATTGCTTGATTCCTCTTCCTGCTGTGTAGTTTACTTATTGATTTTTAAGTGCTTTGGCTTTTTTGTCCCGAAGGGGTCTTTTACTAAGTTACATTTCATCCCTGACTGGTAAGCCAAGAATAACAGGCTCATTTTACAGCTCAGTGCCTCTTGTGAGCTTGACTTCATCTATTGTTTGTCCTCGTAGCTTTAGGATAACACCTTAATCATTTGGGTGCTTAAAGAGACCCTGTCACCAACTTAAAAAAAAAATTAAAAAAAATTATTTTGTATTCACCCGCAGTGTACCTTTTAAACTTATTAGAAGATTGGACTACACCAGGAAAAGACAGTTCCATTGCACGTCCCCCTCCTGTCCCCCTCCTTTCCATATCCTAGCCCTCTCTACCTCTGGGAATGTCTAATTACTCTCTGTAGTGACCTAGCATCTCTGCTTCTCCCCACGCCTCCCTATGTAATCTTTTATGTATGAGCTGGGGGAGAAGCAAAGGGGAATACCATAGAGTGACTGCTCAGTCATCTGGGGCTGCTGGTGTCACATTCAAGATGGTGACGCCCAGCCGCAGTCTCTGAGCTTTTGGACATCTACACATGGGAATTTTTTACAGGTACATAACATGCACTAAATACAATAAATGCACATAAAGTCTTACGGGGATATTTTGTTGAAATTAACAGTCTCGAGTTAGGGTCTAAGATGGGTGTTGTCTACAGGAGACCAGGACTTGTAAATTTTATCAACAGACACAGATGACATAATTTAGTTTTTTCTTCTGGTAGAATGCAGCCTCCATGGACTTTCAGCATAGCCTTTTGACTATGCATACTTATTAACCTTGGTAAAGAAAAAAAAAACCCAAAACAATCCAATGACCATATTCAGTGACATTTACTGAAGCAATGCCACGTAGGACCTGTGAAATAAGCCAAAGTATTTAGTACCTTCAGGTATGGGGAGTATGTGACACTCTACCCCTCCTCCAACAATGCAGCGCAAGATGTGTGAGCAGCCAATTGCTATGTGCCACCTGGGGGTGTAGATAAGAGTCCATAGCTCTCTGTAAGCTCAAACTAGACTGGCCTGGAGCTTAGGTCTTCTCCTTTTGCTTTAGTAGGGGAGCCAAGTATAAGCAGCACAGAAAGAAGAATGTAAGTATAAGCAGCACAGAAAGAAGAATGTAAGTATAAGCAGCACAGAAAGAAGAATGTAAGTATAAGCAGCACAGAAAGAAGAATGTAAGCATAAGCAGCACAGAAAGCAGAATGAAAGTATACTGTAAGCAGCTCAGTATGCTGACATTTATGTGGACCTTTTGCTTGATTCCTCTTGATTCCTCTACAGTTTCACTGTAATGCCAACTTTTAGCAAGGCAGAAGTAGGATGGCCTGTCTTATTGGAGAAAAGATAGGATGACAATTGATCTTGCATATCCTAGTGTTTTGTATATAAAGTAGTATAATTATGAAAAATGACTTAACATTTTGAGTTCTCACTTAATATGTCTCCCTGTCCAATGGAATTTACTTGATTGTGTATTGTGTGTATTTTCCAGACATCTGAACAAGAAACAAAAGGCCTACCAAGCAAAAAAGGAATAGTGCAATCAATAGTTGGCCAGGGTTATCATCGTAAAATAATCTTGGCTTCTCAGTCTGTTCAGAATCTCCTGTACAAGTAAGACTTTCTATTATGTATTTATGTGCCAACAAGATGGTAGAATGGCTGTACATAAGCGTAACCTTTTTGTAGTCGGTGGAATAATGAAACTTAAAGTGGAAGCCAGCCAAAGTGTTTGGCTTGAGGTCCACTACAAGGATACGTACGGTCTTGATGTTTCATGCGGTTTGAACATGTTTGTTTAGTAATTACCTAGCTTTAAATATGACATGGCAAGCTCAATGAAGAAATATATAAAATTCAGGCCACAGAGTTTGTATGTAATGGAAGCTGCGAGTCTATGTATGTATGTATGTATGTATGTGTGTCTCTGACCAATCATAGAAGAAATCTGACCCAACATATTTTCTTGAGCACCTCTAATTAATTGAAACATTTTTTTTTTTTTTACTGTTTGGTGTCTCTAAATATGAAAATGAATTGTCAGCCAATGAGGGATCTTTTGCTTTGCACGGATCTATTAGTCTCCTCTCCTGGACATGCAGGAGGGGGAATAGGTTAAAATTGTGTTTTTGTGCTGGCTTGTTCATTAGTCCAATAACAAACTGTTGTGGGTCAGGCAGGCTTTACTGCCCAACTTCAGTGGTCTGCATAGATTCAGGAACTGACTGTGCAATGTGGAATGAGTGTCTGAATTACAAGACTTCCTGGCCATAATAAAAATCCTTTTGGCCCTGAATTCTGGTAATGCATTTTTTTTCAACAGTACATTTAACTGGTTACCTTTTTTTTAAAAAAAGGAAGGAAGCATTTGTATCTCCTCTTCTTCTAATTTTTTTTTCAGTTAATGTTTCTGCTGTAGATGTAACTTTGGGAGATAGTTTCCCTTTCACAATATTACGTGCTTGTCATGTTTTTCACGATCGTATATCACACAGACAAGTAACCACTTGAGGGCACATCTGTTTGCTGTGTTATTGCATTTCTTACATTAATTTTGTAAGAAGAATGTTGTGCACTTTGTAAACATTCAGATTTGCATGTGTTTGATTTTAGGTAGCAAGTTTAATTTAAATATTGCTAGTTATTGTTTTTATGAATTTAGTTGTTTTTGCTTATTTTAGCGATGGGGAATCCTCTGCAATTCCAGTAGCCAGCATGGAGTTTGCTGCAATATGTTTAAGGAATGCACTGCTTCTTTTACCTGACGACCAACAAGAAGGTACTAAAGAAAATGGTGCAAAGATTATCAGTCAAACAGGCAACACAGATTCTGGTGGTGAAAGCAATGAAGGATGCAGGTGAATACATGTTTTTTTTCTAACCTTTTGCAGGTGTGCCCTACTTAATGAAACCTGTACTAAGAGATGTGTTTAAGCTGCAACTAGTATCCTTTACCAAATGCTATTTGCCTGGCTGTCTCTAAATTGAATACTTTCTGGGTGACCTAACCTGGAACGATTATGCAGGTCAAGGAAGTTGGACTCCCTAATCTGCATGCCATGTATGTAACTTAGAACTGAGGCCATAGGGTGGTCACATTAGCCAGGAAACTAGCATTTTAGGCAAACGTCATCAGCAATGACAGTCTGCATGTTTTCTCGGTTCAAATTCCGTTTTGGTCTCCAGCTGGACATTTATTTAATTTATTTTAATAGCCATGTTGTATCTGAAAACACACAGATATACAACACAAAGCCTAAAGCAAGAGTATACAGTTTACTACTCTATGGCAGCCTTTAAATTTCATTGTTCCTGCATGGCTAAAAGATCAATTTGATTTGGCTGTAAGAAGTTACACTAATATAATAAAAACCAATTGTTGTGGTTTCTAGATTTAAATTATCCCCCAAATGTAATGCTTTACTTATAAGACAGAAGAGGTATAGAAGCCACTAAATCCCGGCAAAACAAATAACTTTATTATGACAAAAACAGGCTATCCAAACATACGCTTTGAAAATATACCTCACCGTTCTGCTGAGGTTTCCAAAATTCCAGCAGTGTGTGGCCCATTCGGCAGCCCTTCATTTGACAAATATTGATTTTTTTTTTTTTAATAGGCTTTTGTCAAAGAAGCCAGTCTGGAAATTCTTGGCAGAACAGTGATTAGGGCCAATAAGCTGCCGTCACTGTTTGGGGTATTCTGACAGCGGCACACCTGCCTCGGTCAGGAAACAATAACCTGGCAGGGAGAGGTCCACCATCCACACTGTTAAAGGAGAACTATGAGGTGAGTGCTTTTCACTCACCTCATAGTTCTAGCCGACCTGTGACAATGAAACTGTCACAGGTCGGCTCAGTAGATGGGGAAGTGACCGAACACATACCGGCGTTCGCTCACTTCTCTATCCTGTCACGGCTCTCTGCCGTGACAGGGGAGGGACTGGATTCTCCCGATCCTCCAGCGCTGATTGGCGGAAAGGACGGGGGAGGGGGCTGGTACAGCTGGCTCTGCCTCTGGATAGGCAGAGCCAGCTGTCACTCACGCAGCTGGGCGGATCCAGACGTAATTGTCGGGATCCGTTTAAGCTGCGGCGTCTCAGTATACCGCGAGCTGTAGCGTGGGTGACGGGAGGACGCTAGTTTGTGTCCTCCCGTTACCCTTAGGAGAACTACGGGGAAAAGCCCTAACCCCATAAGCGTGGATGGGGTGAATCAAACAGTTTTCCTGATTGGCCCACAAGGCTGAGCAAGAAAAAAAACGATCAGTGTATACGGCCAGCCTTACTGTTTACCTTTTGCTGCGGTGTAATTACATTTTTGATTTCTTTACACAGTTTAAAAAGAGTACATTTTAGCAAAACAAGCATTGAATTAGACCAGGCAGAGGTAAACGGAAAACTTTTAAGGGAAAGTATCTCTGAGGTCCTTTTCTTTGTGGAAAAAGAGTTGTTCTGGTAATCCACAGATAACTGGTGTGTTTTCCAATTCAGTGGCAGCAAGCAGGAAAGTAATGTCTCCCACCATGGAGCTAAACACGTTTGACTTTACAGACACAAAGCTGGAATTTACACTAGAAGTTGAAGGATCACATTTGCCTGTGTTACATTTTTGTCATGCACAGCAGACCTCTCTTAAATGGAATGCAATAGTGACAGGTTACATTTGAAAATGGAACATTAAGTCTTATGTCATTTCACTGTGTGCTATCTGATATTTTTTTTTTCCAGCAATAAAAGCCATGAAAGTGATAAATTTGCTCCCGCTCCACCTTCTTCTCCTCTGAAACGGCAAGAGCTTGAAAATTTAAGGTAATTTTTTTGCCTTGGTACATTTGCCTTGCTGTTTTCCAAAACATATGTAAAGAAGATATAGCTGCAAAATGTGCTTTTAAACTGAGTCAAAACAAATGAGCCTTGTGTAAAAGCTGGGTAGGTAAGCAGTGACATCATTTTTATATCTGGCAGTCGGACTTGTTTTTAATCTAACCTGTTTTTTTTTTTCAAACGTGTCTTTATTAATTTTCATTCCACCAACAGATGGATAAAGTAAATCAAATACAAAAAGACAATAACAAGACAGTGACAATTCTCATGTATACATCTCATGGTTACAATGATATCAGACACGTAGACCACAACCTAGCAATGTCAGTTTCTGCATACAACATTTTACATGCATATAGATAATCTAACCTGTTTTAAAAAAAGCTTAGCCTGGCTGCTTAAGATTGCACGTCAGATTTTTTCCCTCTTTTTTCTGTATGTATTGGTCCAATCATGCTTTTTTTTTACTTATGAGGTGAGACACAATCAGCTGTAGATCCTTTTTACGCCACTTAGCTCCCAGGCAATTTGTTCCCCAAGCCCTGTGTAAGCAAGCTCAAAATGAGCTCTGAAATCATCTCTGAATTCATGCTGACACTGTCCTATCTTGAGGGCGGCTACTTTTGTTCCCCATGGTCCCTGTGTGTGTTGTAAAGTAGCCACCGCTCCAAGCTTACTCCCGTGATGGACTACAATCTCACTTTTAGTTTAATCATTTGTATTAAGATTGTAGTCTATCATGGAAGTGAGCTTGAAGCGGTGGCTACTCTACAACACACACAGGGAACATGGGGAACAAAAGTAGCCACCAGAAAGAAGGAAGGACAGTGTCGGCACCAATTCAGAGATTTGAGGATCCACAGCTGAGTGATTCACAAGTAAGATACATTACTGTTAACAATTAAGGTACCTGAATGCATTTTTAAGGTTTAACTCTGGAGTTTAGCGTTACAGAATCCTCAAATCAGTGAACCAAAAATGCTGCATTTTTGGTCCGTTAATTTGTGGACCTATGCTAACATGCAATGTGTGCTGCAGTAATGTCCATTCACCATAGAGAGGAAAAAAGGTCAACTGACTGTCACTGGTTGCTGTCAAAGAAAGTACATCTTTTCTGACTTGAAGATCCACCATATAGCTGGCCATACATAGATTTTCTTTCAGATCAACAAATTTTACCAAGAAGTATGAAGACCTACTAGGGATGCACTGATACTGGGCTTCCTGATTAGCCAGCTTTCCGACTAATCAGGAAGCTTGGCAGCGAGTCATTACATGCTATCTGGCTTCCTGATTGGCCGGGAAGCCGGCTCCATGCTCCTTGGTGACGAGAGACTTACCCCCAGGCTTTCTGATACCGGAAGTTCCGATATAGGATAAGTATCGGGAGCATTTGTATAAGTACTTGCCCAAATACTCGGTATCGATCAATACCAATACTAGTATCTGTGCATCCCTAAGACCTACCTGAACAATTCACTGAAATTGTTTCCATCCAGGTAGACCCTCATACTACACAATTGTAGTATATTCTCTGTGTTTGAGGTCAGCTTTTACATGTGTTCATTTTTTATGTGTTTTGTCATTTGTTTGACCATTATAGTGAAAAAGCTTAATTTAGGTAACACTCATGTAGCTAAGTTTATTGCCAGTGCTACTATTGCTGTTTGACTATTTGCAGAATTTGGATTAGTACCTCTACCTGGATACTGGAGTGTGTGTGTGTGTGTGTTTTTAATGTGCTGCTACTGTAGAATAAAATAGTGGGCTTCACCTTTTTTTTTTTTTCATTGGGTGAACTTCTGGTGATGCAAAGTACACATTGTTGTGCTCTGTACTCATTACTTGGCAAAGGAGAAGCAGCACAGCAAGCCAGTCAGTTTAGCTGCAATGCTTATGTGCTAACAAAGGACCATTATAGGAGGAGAGAGCAGAGTGATGGAGATGAGCTCAGTGTTGTGCTGTTTCTTGTTCGCAGTCAAATTTCAGACAAGAAGCAGGGACAAGACCTTTCAGTATTACTTAACTGCATAAAGGAAAAAATAGGGCCTTTGCCCTGCCAGACAGGGCTGTGCTGTGTAAACTCAGGACGGGATTGCCAGAAATACAAAATATTTGGCAGGTAAAACAGCTCCCATATTTTCATACAAATATTAATATAGCTCCCTCTGGCTTTGACTCTGGCCTGGTACAAGCTTGCAGAAAGTGAAGTCAGCACTGCTGATCTGCATTTTTGTACTGGCTCAATGCCTCAGGAATCCTTGACGCAGCTGGATCAGCAAGATAGCCCAGCAAAAAGCATTTTTAGAAGGAAAGGGAAGCCTTTGCCCTCCATATTTCTCTTATGACAGTTTATAAGTATGCTAATTCTTCATCCAGGAAAAAAAAGCTGAACAGAACTAGTAACGTATACATTTTTTAGAGAAATCTAATGCTCTGTAATATAGGCATGCAGCTCTGTGCTTACCACATCTGTATGATTGCTGATCACACTAAAAGCTGTTTGGCATTTGCTGCCATGTCTAAATGGATGCTAGTTGTAGTTTTAGCTGTGTATTCTACTTTCCTCCAAGCACGGCGTCTGCACTAGACGGTTCATAGCTGTCGGGGGGCCAAGTGTTAGAGCAAGACAATATTCCCACATGGACTGTCCCCGCCTCAGTAGCTGCCAGAGCTTTTCCATTCCTCTTGGGCAACGGTTCAATAAGTCTCTGCATCACCTGGCTGCACTTTGAGATTCCATACGTTTTTAAAGTGTGAGAACAAGCAAGTCTTGTTTGAATAGGTCATGACCAAGTGATCTGATCATGGCAGCCATGGGGCGAAGTAGGGGGAATACAAGTCTATTTTGTTTGCAAGTGGAAGTTCAGTGTAATCCCTTTCTTGCCTGGGAGGCCTGTAGTGCACTGCAGATTTAAGCAGTAAGCTGTAGGCTCCTGTTGGGGAAATTCCTTTTTCAAGGATAGAAATTCCCTTCCGTGTTTTTTTTGCTCACCATCCTCGTTTGTCTGGGATTTCGACAAACACTGTTACCCCTCTGGATTACATCCAGACATTGTGCATTATTAAAAGTTATTAATGTTTTGTGGTTTTCTTACCTTGTACAAATAAGTGTGACAGCTACTTCTGCGTCATATTTCATTGTGGATCTCGTGTATGAGTTTGCCGGAAGGAACAACTTTCTCACCGTTCATTGAAGGACACAGGGCAACACTGTTGCCCTGTGTCCTTCAATGAACGGAGAGAAAAAGATTTTACGGTGAGTACAAAACCCCTATTTTTCATAATTTTGCATAACACTTTATTTGCTAGAAGCTCAAAATGCATAATGTGGTTGTTTTAAAAAAAATACACCAGGGGTAGGCAAAGTCTGCACTCCAGCTGTTGTGGAACTATAAGTTCCATGATGCATTGCAAGGCTTGATTCGCAGAGGCAAAGAGGAATTTATTTTTCTGTTCTTTTTTTTTTTCCCCCAATAAATTTTTATTACATTTTTGATTTTCCATACAAACAAAATAGAAAATGACACATCTCAGCAAAACCATCAGAATGATTGACTGGTACAGTGATGTTAGAAAAGCATCAAGACAAAGTATTTAGGTTACAGACAGTCAAATTCCTCTTCTAAGGGGGGACATTTGAATGAGTTGCTTAGGTATCTTAAGATTGTCCATCTTACGTTGGTTAGTTAGTCCCCCTCCCTCTAATGTTATGGCAATTGGGTCAATTAGGGGGGGCTACAAGGTGCCCCTCAATGACATCTTCAAGTTGAGCATGGAGGGATTTGTAGCTTTACCACACCAAAGTTGCCTATCCCTATAATACACCTTTCATTTGTTTAAGAGTAACTTTGCTCTTACGCTTCTCTCCAAATTATTGGGAGATTACGCCAGTGCACGGGATATCCTGAAGATCAAACTTTGTTCTTCGAGATATATATTTACTTGGCAGTTAGGCCTCCTGAAAATGCATGCTCTTTCTTTAGCTAGGATAGCCTCCACTGTGTGGCTCTTCCAAAGGGTACACACAGTGGTTTTGTATGTATTTTTGTTCTGCATCATGTTCAGGATTGATTATTACAAATAGGATTCCTTTACAGTCAGGTGTAATATTCCATGTATTGAAGAAGAACTCCAGGTAAAAATGTTATTAACCCCTGCATTGGGTCTACCCCTGCACTGCAAGTTTTAAGTGCTTGTTTTGCCTAGGGTAACAAATAACAAAGTGATACTCTCCCAATCCTCCAAGCCAGCCGGATGTGACAGCGCTCACTCCAGCCTGTATCCTCCTGCACTGCAGCGATGGAATGTCCCCTGTCGTCCTCACATCTTATACTCTGTGTATAGAATGTGATGACTAGGGGACCTTAGACCGCTGCAGCGGAGAGGGAGAGAGGCTTCAGGGACGGATCTAAGATCAATCCGGCTTGGAGGATCAGGGGATTTTTTACTTTCATTCTTGACCCTTGCCAAAAACGAGCACTTAATTGTTGCAGTGCAGGGGTGGTTCTACTGCAAGGGTTAATCATTTTTTTTTTACCTGGAGTCCTGCTTTATGCGTTTACCACATTCTAGAAAAATGTGGAGGTCTATTGGTCCGTGTGTGGTATAAAGTAGCCACGGCTCCAAGGACTGCAATCTCATGTTTAGTTTCATAATTTGTATGGAGATTGTAGTCCATCATGGTGAGTGAGCTTGGAGCAGTGGCTACTTTACAACACACACAGTGCCCATGGGGGACAAAAGTAGCCACCCTCCAGAAGGAAGGACAGTGTCTGCACCAATTCGGAGATGATTTGAGGATCTACAGCCGAGTGATACACAAATAAGATACATTTTTGTTAATAGTTAAGGTATTTGAATGCATTTTTAAAAGTTACCCCGGAGTTTAGTGTCACTTTAATGAAAAATCACTATGTGGAGCCTGTGGTGTTCTATAGAATTTTCTCTACTTTACTTTCTCCCGGTGAGAACTCCATGACTGA